TACCTGTGTGACTTAAGACTGGTTTTGTGGTCCAGGGTCACATATCATTCCGATTTAATTTAGATTTCCTTGAGATTAGGAGGACAAGGTCCTGAAGTCATATCAGAAATCTAGAACATAGTATTCTAACAAATTTTAGTTTTTTTCAACTTGAAATGCTAAAGATGATTGCAGTCACCTTTGCTCCAGTTTAGTCGTTTTGTTCAGCACACTGGAAAGTCTGGCACTAGATTTCATGATGTCTGCTTTTTACATGTTTTTCAAACACCTAACGTCTTCTTATTCGAACTATGTTTTGATATTATGCCACAATATTTCATCCAGTAATCTCAGATGCATTTTGTCTCTACAGGCCAGGTTAGACCAAGCAAGCTCTTTAGTTTTAGGTTTCTGAAACCCTACAGGTATGGAGGGAGCTTGTCTACGTCATTTTGTGCCAAAATGAAGTCTAATATTAGATAACTTTTCAAAAGTTCAACTACACGGGAACTTTAAATAAGGTTTTAATTACTTCAACTTTTAGCACAATGAAACTGGGTTTTAATTACTTTACTTCACAGCACTAATATTTTAAGAAACCATATACTGAACACAATGAGCTCATCCAGAAAGTAAAACATAATGCATGTAGACATGCTTTGTAATGTGTGTTGCCTAATTAAAATACTCATGCACATATCACATAAATTAAGTGAAGCCTCATTAATGGTGTGTCTATATATATAAATATGAATCATTTTCACCTTCATTTCATGTTTAATTTATTTTCACATTATGCATTAATGAAAGATAAGTACTTTAAATATCAATATTCGCATGCGTATGTTTATTAGAAACTTTTTCTATCAACGGTGCTTTTTTTATGACGTTACCACTTTATGTGTAAATAATACAGGAGGAAACACTGGTTATTTTAAGAAAAGTCACAGCGCTGTGATTTAGGATATGTGAACAAGGCCCCAGTGTCGCGAACTACTATGAAACCAGACCTCAGTTGTTAGCGATATTGATCGATACATCAGTCACAACAACCAGTTTCCCTTATAAGACTTTTTTAATATAATTAATCCAGCCCATAATTTCCCATGCTAGTACACACGGAGGGTCCCCAGAACATAGTGCCATTTCAAATCAATAAGTCTCCAGACCTACCCTGATCACCAACAGTAATAATAGATGATTTATTTTAGTAACAAATCAGAAATATAATTTTCTTACCTATTACTCTAACAGACGCTGTGCACTCTTGGGCCGTGCCTTGATATTTGAAGCCATCAGTATTAGGAAATTGACATCAAGCAGAGTCCGTGCAGCAACTAGACAGTTCTCTGAGTGGATGGGGTCATTGGGAAACGGGACAGTGGTTATTAATTAAACTATCTATCTGTTTCTCTTCATGAGAACTAGCAGTTCCCTCCCTCTCACATCAGCTCCAATCTTTGGCTGACAGGCCAACAAATGCAGCATTACCTCCTTAGG